GAAAAGAGGCATGGAAACACACCAAAATTAACCAGTCTTCCTCAACGTGATATTCAGGTGAATTCTGAAGTGGTAGCGTATATTTCTCATATGAATAGTCCATCAAGTTTCTATGTTCAGCTTGCAGAGGATGAAAACTTAATAATACAACTAGCAGAAGAATTAAATGAAAGCATGGTGAATATAGATAATAAAAATTGCTTGGATGAGCTAATGGTAGGGGATCTCCTTGTAGCAGAGTATGACACTGATTGTTTTTACTATAGAGCAGTTATTAAAACTGTGAAATCAGGAAACTCCTTTGAGGTGCAGTTCATTGACTATGGTAATGAAGCAGTTGTAAGTCCTTCAAAAATCTGCAGGATTCAGAAAAAGTTCTTAACTTTGCCAAGGCTCAGTGTTCATTGTTTCCTTAGCAGAGTAAAAAGTGCTTTTGATGAAAGCTGGACTAGCAAAAGCACTAACTGTTTTTTAAATGAAATAAAAAACAAGCCACTCATTTGCAAGTTCTTACAGCAACATGGAGAGCAGTGGGAAATAGATATAACTTGTGATAGAGAGTCTGTGTCTATTGACCTTCTGCAGAAAAAAGGCACAGCAAGATGGCAAAGCACGCCAATGCATAATCCGGAAAATCGCCCAAAACAAATTTTGCTTACAAATGATGATCCTCAAAATAGGAAGTCTAGGAATGATTTAGGTGGTCAAGGTAAAACTGAGGCTGTTGGGATGAAAAATACTTCCAAAACACCCTTAAATGTTCTTCCCCATGATCTTAAATCTGGACAGGTAGAACGAGTAAAAGTAACTAATATTTCAGGGAGTGGAGAATTTCATGTACAGTTACTTAGAGATTTGCAAGTGTTACGTAAGTTAAATGTAATGCTTGTAAAAGAAGCACAAAGACGTGATTTGCTTAGAGTGGATGGCATCGAAGAAGGATTGGAATGCATGACAAGATCTGAAAGAAACTCGAAGTGGTATCGATCAAAAGTGATAAAGAAATTTGTCAGGGAGAAGTTAATGATAGTTTTTTTCATGGATTATGGTAAGTGTGAGATGGTGTCCTTAAATAATGCAAAGATGGTCAGTGACAGGATTAAAAGTATTCCGAAACAGGCTGTGTTTTGTAGATGGGTTTGGTTTAAAAACCTGAAGAAATACCATTTTGTCCATGTGGTAAATGCACTCCTGGATTGTGAAGTAAGGATTTTGTTTTTGAGATATTTGGAATCCTCACGTATCTGGGAAGTAGATATTTTAATAGGGGAAATTCTGCTTTGGGAGTATTTGAACCAGCTCTTAAGTCATCACTGGACTGGTTTTCGACCAGAAAAATTCAGTAATGCAGATGGTAAGGAGTTTGATACATCATTCAAGATAAATTCAGTCACGTGGATGGTGATGCAGAGTGGCAGAAGGTATCCTGGGTTTGCAACTGCAGTTACTGATCCTTCAAACTTCTGCATCCAGTTTGAAGTCTTATTTGATTGCATGAAAAACTTGTTTTTGCTGCTCTCTGACCTTCCTGACAACTTGCCAACACTGCCAGAAGAACTTGTGGTTCCTGGTGCTAGCTGTTTGATCCAGTTTGGACTGGAAGCACAGTGGAACAGGGTGGAAGTTAGTAAAGTAACACATCAGTCTGTTTTTCTTAGGTTTATTGATTATGGCTTTCTGAGGAGTATCCCTTACTCTGATATTCATAAACTGAAAGTTATTCCAGAAAGTCTGTCTGTCTTACCACGCTTGGCACACTCTTGCTCTTTACATGATACAGTTCCTGCCAGGGGGAAATACTGGAGTGATGAGGCTAAGCTTTTGTTTAAGAAGCTTCTTAGTAAACCGGGCCTGGTGTTTAATTTTAAACACTATGGATCTGAAATGAAATTAGAGGTGGATGTTCTGTATGAGGAGAACAGTCTAGCCCATGCCTTAGTTGCTGCTGGCCATGCAGTCCACGCTGGACATCGGTGCTGCCTCATTCCAGTTGGCAGAATTAAATCAGAAAAAAGTTCTGCAGACTGAATGTCCAAATTCTAGTTACTGTGCTTCCCTTTGTGAACCAGATGACAATTATGGCTAAAACTCTTCCTTTGCTGACACAGTGAAAATCGAAAGCATAGGACTATCTGTGGTAAAGTTTCCAATAAGGAAGTCTGAAGTGAGTGCTGGCATGTCGTTTACAGAGGGTCTGAGTTCACATAATGCTGAAAGAAAAGAAAAACTGCAAAAGATGGACAATACTCTGGAAAAGTTTTGAGTTTTTCAGCATTGTGATGATAAGAAAAGTAAAATTGACTTGATATGGAGCAAATCTGCTACCAGAAGCACTGGTGCAGACTTGTGATTCTGCTGTTCTACAGTCTAGAAAGACAGTGTGAAGACTCTCTGAAAAGGGTTGCTTGAATAATAAGTAGACTGCAGTTAGTAAAGTACTTCTTCAATGCATTAAAAAACCTGAAAGATACTCATCTTAGTATATTTTTTGTCCCTTCAAGATCTCTTGATATATTTTAGACAATCATGTTTTTGGCAAACCTTACTGTTAGAAAACTTTTACATTTTATGTTTGTATGTATAAGTATATATACATCTACTCTTTACAGTGTTATTTACTATGGTGTGGTCTCTTTCTTGTTTTGGATGCTCAGAATGAAAATGCCTGTTGTTTGTTTCTAATTCCAAAGTTCCTGTGTGAGTATCTTTTGTTTTGTTAGGAGAGTTTACTAACAGTAAGCCAAAACCTTGGATCCCCATTTATGGGAGAGACACCCATTAAGTTGTTTTCAGTGAGATCTTGGAGTAAAGATACAATTGACCTATCTCGGGGTTGTTTTGGTATGAGTTGCATGACAGTTGGGGTCGTTGTCTCTGCTTGAGTGTGCTTGTTCCTCCTCCTCACTCCTGTCAAAACAGAAGTAGTTTTGTCCATGCACATAGTCTGTGTATTGAAGGGAAGCATTCAGAGCCTTTTACTTATTTATTCTTTGTAGGAGGACGAAATTTCTAGAGAATGGAAAAGTGATTATATGCTGTGTATGTCTTTACAACTTCATTGTTTCAGTAACCATTGTGAAATTATAAGAATTTGTTACATATTTCTCTGATTTTTTTTTTAAATCCCCTCCAGTTATTAGGATAAAAATAAAACATGAAGAGCCCTGGGGTGTGAGGGGTTTTCTTTGTATGCCTTCTGATTGTTTGAATTTAAATTTAAAAATTTGAGTACATCCCTTGTGATAGACTATGCATCTAAGGTGTCCGATTCTCACTTCTACCTATCATTCAGTTGGAACAGCAGGTGCTTGTTCATCTTTTCTTTTTAAAGATGGCCTGGATACACTAAATGCCAGTCCAGTTGGTGTGGTATTAATACACAACTTGCATATTAGTTTTTGCCAATGAGAAGTATATTGTGCTTTAACTTGTAGTTGTGCACTGCTTACCTAGTGTTACAAAAGGGAGGCTAGAAGTGCCAGATGATTAATACAAAATAAACAGCTGTGTGTGTACTATTTTTTATGTTTTGCAAATTGCAGATATTAGATTTATTTGCAAGAATGTGTGTTTTAATTTCAGCTCATAACGAGTCTAGCTTGTGATAGTAATCCCTTTTCTGAAGGTCTGATACCCAAAGCACTTAGGGTTAAAAACTAGATAATTCAAAGTATTTTCCAGGATTATGCTGCACCTGTAAATATAGAGAATGTATTTTTCTGCCATTGTTGATACAGTTTTTCAGAAGTGCATTATATATAAGGTTGTGTTATGATTGTTAGATGAAGTTGCTGGGATGTTTGGCTGTGGATTTTATTCCCAGCCTTCTTTCTTTGGTGTGAACTTCCCCTGTTCCCACCCTCACCTGTAACAGCATTTTTCTTGTATGTAGGAGAGCCTATACTTGTAACCTAGTTGAAAGAAATTGTCATTGATGCAGGATTTGGAAGTTTAGGTATGTTTTCCTGCTTATTTTTGGGCAAGTGTAATTCTGAGCAGAACCACTACTTTGATTTGGTAAAATTTAATTGAAAAATACTGCTTATCATTTGGTTGTGAAATGATAAGCACCCAAATCTGTTTCCTAAATAGATTTCTGATTTTGTTTATACTGTCTTTGATTTTTGATTTTTTTTTTTTTTAATTTTTAGTCCATGAATGTGGTAAAGAGAACTGGTTGCATGTATTTGCTTGGAATTAAAAATGTTCCGTGTATGCTGGATACACAGTACTCTGTCTTTTTGTAATGAATAATAAAATTCTTACCTTCTGTGTGTAACTTATCCTGCCTAAGTCATTCTAAATATTTCTGTGACCTTTTGGTTGGTGGATGCATTGGAAAAAACCTGAAGGCGTTCTTTGTGGGATGTGCCAAGGAACAATCCCTGCCCTCTAAGACAGCGCCTGTGGGGTGGGTCATATCTACTTGCACTGAATCAAAGTTTGCTTCTGAATGCTGTACAGGTGGCACAGGCGTTCTGCTTGCTCTCTTCTACAGCTTTCTAGATGTGTGACACGCTCAACCTTCTTTTGCCTAGTGCTGATGAGACGTACTCTCACTAGCACCCTCTATGAAGGCAGGTAGGCCCACTCTAGCAATACTGTTACTGCAAACTTTTCCATTTGGATGCAGTTACTTTGAGAAACGTTATCCAGTATTTCCTTTTAAAGATGTGAATTGGTGAACATTTAAACTATATGAAAAATATTATTTAAATATTTATAAAATGCCAGAACGTTAGAAAATGCACCATAGTGCTTACCTGATACTGGGGGAGGGGGGGAAGGACGTGTGTGTGTAATTATTTTTTTTTTCTGTTTTGTTTTCCCAAGGGAACTTTAAGACTGTATAATGTGTAATAAGATGCCTGAGTTTTAGTAACTTACCATGCAGCATTACTCTGTAGAGGAAGAGTACCTCTTGCTGATTTTGCTCTTCCTTTCTGGCTGGTTTAGGAGTGACCCTATAGTGTGTCCAGAGAGAAATGTGTTTGGACCTCAGCCAGCAGAAATAGTGGGCCTGAGAGAAGGTGAATTCATGTAGGAAGAGAGGCAGAGAATGAAAAGCTTCTTCTGGAGATATGGTGGTTCAGTTTTGAAATGACTGACCAGTTACTGAATGTTTGTATAGACCAGGAAGCATGGAAGTCTTGGCTTTCAGGCAGAAGTTTAGGTTTCAGTGCTAACCTAGAGTGTGAAGGTTTTTGAACTTTGCAATAAAAAGATAGGAAATAAAGTACGAGTGTAGAGTGTGAAGAAGAGCTCTTAGACACTAACCAGGTGGGTAAAAAGCTGTTTGAACTGTTGGCTTCAGAGCTTAGTAGTGGTTAATGGGATATGCTCCATCTGGAGGTTGTTAACAGGGGGAGTACTGCAGGGATCTGTCCTGGGTCCTGTCCTGTCAAACATCTTTATCAATGACCTGGAGAAAGGAATGGAGTACTTGCTCATCAAATTATATCAAGTTATGAGGACCAGCTGATACACACTGGGGGCCACAGGCTGCAATCCAGAGGGAGAGGCTGGAGGTCAGAAACACAATGGAATGTAATAGGAACAAATGGCTATAAATTGAAATGAGAGAGAGAGAGACTGGAAAGCAAAACCTTTCCAGAATGAGGACAGTCAGGCATTGCAGAAGGCTTCTCAGGGAGATTGTGCAGTCTCCATCCTTGGTAGTTTTCAACACCCAGCAGGGTAAAGTTCTGACAAACCTGGTGTGACTGCATAGCTGACCCTGCTCTGAGTAGAATGTTGACTAAGTGAACTCTAGAGGTCCCTTTTCGCTTGAATTATCCTGTTACTGCTTCATACCTTAGTAGTGTCCAAAACCTTGTATAATGGCTTTGGAGGAGATAGAGTTAATTTTCTTCACAATAGCTAGTGTGAGGCTATGTTTTGAATTTGTGTTGAGAAGAACGTTGATACTAAAACCATCGGTGCGTTATGAGGTTATGTTTTGAATATTGACAATGTACCGAAGGGTTTAGTTGTTGTCAAGCAGTGTTTGCATTAAGCCAAGGATTTTTCACTTTCTCATACTGCACCTGTGTTCCCAGCTGCTCCTCCTCACACCTTTCTGTAGAGACACAGCCCCAGACAGCTGATCCAAACTGACCGAAGGGCTATTTCATGCCATAAAACATCATGCTTAGTATGTATGTTGGCTGGAGCGTCTGCTCTTAGTCTCTCGCTGCTTGGGGACTGGATGGGAGTTGGGTGGTGGGTTGTGTTATCCCAGAGGTGCTATCACTGAGCTCAGCATTGGCCAGCGGTGGGTCTGACATGGAGCTGGCTGGCATTGGCTCTGTCGGACGTAAGGGAGGCTTCCAGCAGCTACTCGCAGAAGCCACTCCTGTAGCCCACCCACTACAGCTAACAAAACTTTGCCACTCAAACCAAATACACAGGCTTACAGGGTTTCTGCAGGAAATATTTCAATCAGAGGATTGCAGATACCCTGTTGCATAAGCTAAGTAGTGAATTTTTAAGACACCTACTTATATGTCTCTTACAGAAACGCTTACCAATAAGTTCGGTGTGGGTCAGCGATCTTAAATGTTTTGCTGGCCAATGTGATCTCTCACAATTTCACCTCACCTCACACTCCATGCCATAGGTATTAAAGTCTTGTGTCAGTATGTTTTCTAATTTATACAGTGATATAAAATACAAGGTTTGATGGAGACACTGCACAGTCTATCTGCTCCAGAAAGAGGTATGAGAATTAGGAAGAAAAACCTTCTTCCTCAGAAAGTCTAGGACTTGTCTGTAAATGGAGGGCAATGCAATCTGCCAGGACAAAAGAATCATGATATTCTTTGAGAATATTCATGATACTCTTTCCTGGGAGAGCAGGGATTCCCAAAAAATCCTGTGTCTGATATTGTAAAAAGCTTTACTAGCTGATTTGAGACTGGGAACAGCAGAGACTGGGAAAGCTGCTCTGTTTACAGCTGGGAATGTTTTTTTTAGCCTTCGGTACGTGTGAGGTAGCAGGAAACACTTGATGTGAGTTTGTGATAGTA